GGAGTTTTCATGCACCAGATTTGTTATATAAAAGAAAGGAACTGAGTGAGAATTCAAGAGTTTTATCAGTTGATAATACAATGCAAGAGGAAAAGAAGAAATGATTATGAGGAAATCAGGTGGTCTTTTAGAACTGCACACTCAGCTTCGTCACAGGAAATTACATAATATAAAATGCAGTGTCCCCAATCTACCATAAGGGCCTATTTCTTACTATGCCATTACTTTAAGCATGACATTAAATGTTCCATTTCTTTGAATGAGTAAATTAAATATTTTGGACCAAATTGCATCTTTCTTTGCTAAACTCTTGTTTTTCCGTTATTTACATATTTGTCATCATCTTAAAAGCTTGGGCTGGTGCCTGTCCTTCAGATGTGGGAGGTGGGCATGTACAAAGGGCAGGGGCTTCCCTGGTGCCCACCTGAGTGCGCTGTGCTTTCTTGGGAAGGGGGAGGCATCTCCAGGCAGCGCCTCCCGTCAGGGCGGATCTGAAATGTGCCTCAGTGATTTCCATCCATTCATCTCCTGCTTCATCCGGTGTTTATTGATCATCCACTGTGGCCCCGTGCGTGCCATTTGCTGCACGGTACTGGATAATCTCTGATAGAAAAAAGAAAGTAAGGCAGTCGCTGTCCTTGACGGGTTTAGAGCCTGCTAGAGCAGCTGGTACCTGTCTGTGCAAGCAGGGGGACAGGAAGTCACCACGACACAGGAGGGACAGAGGCAGGCCTGGAGGCAATGCTTGGGAGCCCAGAGAGGGCACTTCGGTTTGTAACAAGGCATGAGAGAGATGGTGACACTTGATGTGGCCGTAAAGGATGGTGGGATTTTCCCAGGACTAGAGGAAGAAAGCGCACTCTGGGGAGGGAACAGCGAGCACAGACAGGAGGCCCTGGGCATGTCCACGCCTTGGTGACTAGTCCATTGTGAGCATCTACTCCTGGCTGGTTGCTGTGGTGGAGGCGGCGCAGAGACAGAGGACAGAGGAGAGAGCATGGTTTCTGCCTGTGCACCCCATGCTCTGTGTTTAGGGGTTGTAGCCTCACGGCCACGTACATTGTGCACGTGCCCAAACCACCCCACCACGCTTCACTGGGCAAATCAGTGTTTTGAGTTGATCTGTCATTGCTTTCTTGTGGCTTTGCTGCCTTTTAATGCACTGTTGAGTAGAGGGCGCTCTGGTCCAGTGAATGAGCCCCCTGCCCAGGGAGCAGCATTTCAGAGTGAAGATCAGGGGGCCCCACCGTCCTGCAGAACCCAATTCCTCTTCGTCCCGCTGCTTCCTGTTTGGGAGCCCCCTGGCCAGTGCTGATAAGTCTGAGATGAGGCCGTCCCGCTTCCGGGCCCAGATGGTTTGACAACGTATTAATCTCTCTGTTTTGGAAAAGGGAGGAAGTTGCCCCGATTCTTTTCCTGGCGTTTCCAGCGCAGCCCTCATTCTTGGCAGAGAGCACTTGTGAATTATCGGAGGCCCTTTCTGACAGTAAGAGAGGAGAGGCAGGGGTTCTTCTAGATTACCAGTTAATTAAAAGAATCCTGGGGTTGAGGAGTCAAGAGGAAAAATAGCACCATTATTATTCATCTGAAGACGGACTCGTAGCTGAGCACGGTGATGTGGCAGCCACACTAGAAACCGCAGGTGGGTGACAAAGTCGGCACTCTCGGCCTGTGACTGGCCGTGGTGCTTTCCAGGCCAGCGATGACTCTGTCCCCACCCTGCCTTCTGTGCACGCTCGGGTTCAGCTCCCTCATCAGGGCCTGGGCAGTTGTCAGGGTTTCAGAGCAGAGCCAACACAGATCCAGACTCCCATATCAGCAGTAACAATGCATGTGGCCTCTGGCCAGCGTTGACCAGGGTGGATGAGGGTCCCAGACAGGCTGCATTGGGACCGAGTCCTGAGCAAGCAGAGGCTGCTGGTGCTATGTGTACATGGGCCCCTCTGCGGCCACCATGAAAACAGTGGGCAGAGCTGGGTGCAACTTCTGGGGCTTTCTCTGCACCTGCAGACACACTAGACAGTGGGCTTGAAATGCATATTCACATTGGCTGGTGCCGTGGGTGTTACACAGGTTGTCCCATCCTCGCAGAGACGTTGCATAAAGAGAAAGGAAGTAAATTGCCTTTTGCACTAGGCCATATAAAAGGTTCTCCAGCGGTATCTGTTTTCCTGAATTTTCTTTCTCTAGAAGTAACATATTGAAGCATAGAGGTCGATGTTAAAAAAAAAAAAAAAAAAAAAAAATTCTTCCGAATAAAGGTCATCTTGAACACGGGATACTGTGAGTTTTTCCAGCGTCTATGGCCGACAGGCAAGCCCAGCCCCCTTCTCCCAACCCTCAGAAGAGCAGAGAGAACAGCATTTATTAGGAACAGCTCAAGCCAGGGTTGGGGCATTTCTGTACAGACCAAAGTAGATTAACTTATATATTGTGTAAGCAGATGTACCAAATTATCACTTTTCACTCTAAATTTGTAGCACCAACAGTCTCTCTGCTATTAACTTGGCAATTCATCACCTATAGGACTGTCATATCTTTACTGCTGTTACTTCGGTTTCTAATGCTGCCTTGTATCTTTATTTAACCATTCAATGTAACTCGACTTTTGTAAATATTTGGCATGTCTGCACAAGCGGACTGTAAACCATCCAAGCAGGAAAATCCTGGTGTTGCGGTTCCTTTAATGCAGTGTATTAAGGAACTACACTCCTCTTCCCTCGGCAAAAGTTGCATGCTGTTGTTCGCATACAAAGTGTTTTTATAGTCGAAATCTCTAATGATAGATCCTGGAAACCCTCTTGGAGAAGGTACCTGAATTATGAACTAGATACAACCTGATTAAGGAAAGATTTGCTCATTCATTGTGTTTGGGAACATTAGTCCTCCTTGCCCTGCAAGTTAATGAACAGATAACACTATGGAACCTGGGGTTGGGTGGGGGTGTGGAGGGCCCAGGGAGCAGGGGTCCCAGAGGCTATAAACCTTGAAACAAGTAGAGCTGCTCCTGGCTTTCTATGTTAAATATACAGCAAGTTAAAGCAAGATGGGCCCAGGAGGGCAGACAAGTACCTGTGAGATGGGCTGGAGATGCCCTTAGGAGAACAGGTAAAATCCAAGCACTTTCCTGGAAGCTGACCGAACAGGGTAGGGAGAAATGGGTTTAGCTGACCTACAGGAGCTGTGGCTATAGAAACCTCTAGGAGACATGAAGATGCCTGCAAGGACCTTGAGCCCACCTAAATGTCTTCGGAGCCAGACCAGGGCTAGACCTAGTGCTGAAAAGGCTTTAGGGCACAACTTCAGTATTACTCACAGAAAATAGGAACCGGGGCCACCTACCCAGAGAAAAGGCACAAGATAAAGTTCTGGAAGAGGAGAAGAATCCCTCCAAATGAAGAGCAGGGCTGGAGTGAATGCAGAATCAGAAAAATAGACTGTTAGTGTGCAGATGAGCCTTTGAACTCTGTAACTGCTGGATTTTGCAATAAGGAAACTAATAAAAGGTGGGGAGTGACTTGCCTCAAATGAATTAGAGGCAGAGCTAGGGTTAGAATCGTTCCTATGTCACACATTCATTCACAAACACATATGGGGCACGTAGTGGGAACCAGGGACAGTTCTAGGCTCTGGATCCGGGTTCCCTGACTTGTAGACCTGTGCCGTTCCCATGGCGAGGCCTCCTACCTTGAGCTAAATCTGAAAGGCACGTCTGGCATCAGACGCAGACAAGGATGGGCCCGCAGATTCCCAAGATAAGAAGCCAAGCTCACTCTCAGATCTGAGAGAGGAAGGTAAGTTAAGGAAGGAGCAGCAAAACTAGTTTCGCTGATTAAATTACCAGATATGAGCACAACTTAGCATTTTAAAAGTTTATGACTCTATATCTGTGTTGACCTTTACCCAAGATAGTTACTTGGAACACAAACTTTTAAAAATGGAATTGAGCTGTTGTACCTTTTGAATATATCGAGATGAGAGAGAAGTTGGGGAGGGAAGATGCCACTAGGAAAAGGAGGATTTGCCGAAGTGCCAGGTCCCTGCCCGGGCAGGAGCTAGAACAGAACCGAAGGTGATTCCCTAGATCTGTCGGGTAGAAGACAATCCCTGTCCCACTAGGTGCTGATTGAACTCTGGGAACTTTTGCTCAAGACATGCCCTATTCCAGAAGGTTCTGCCGTTCCTGGGAAAGAACAGAAAACTAAAGAAACACCTTGGCTTCGCTACCTCGGGCCTGGGAAACCTTGCCTGTGCTAACAGCAGCAGTAGCTAATGCTTACCGAGGGCTTTGTGTTCTTGGCAGTGTTTATCTAGCTAATAGCCCTGCGAGATGGCTAAGGAAGGTGTTATTATTCCTGTTTTGCAGATGAGGCAACTGAGCTTCGGGGAGATTAATGGGCTGGGCTAGATCACAGAGCCGTCTGTAGGAGAGCCAGGTCGGAGCAGTCCTAGCGTTCTAACTCCAAGTTGGTGGCTTCTTCCGCTGTGCAATGCTGCTTTCCCAGAGGGTGGGGAGGCCATCCAGTTTTAAATCTGTTTGGGGACAGATACCCATCAAGAACATCTTGCCTGTCCTCCTGGGTTTGAATGCAGATGAGAAGATGCTAGGTGGAGCCATTCCAAGGTGATTTCAGTGGGTTCATTTGGGGGAGTCAGGAAGCATGGAGATTTTTCCTGGGTTGCATTCTTAGTCTTCACTGATCACATTTTCCCTGTCACAAAGAATATTCATTAGTGATGACAGTACACTTTTCAATATGAAGAAATTGCCAGAAAAACAAGAAATAAAACTTGACTAGGTGTTCTTGGTACCTTTGATCCCAGTGAATTTCCAGTGGGTCTGGGTCATTCTGTACCTGCCGGGGTAGTCCCAATACTCTCAGGGCTACAAAAGAAAAGTGACGAGACATGGATGGGCCCCGGCCATGTATTTTCCAGGGGACACTGTCAGCCTGGGAATCATGGGCACGTGAGTGACTGTACCTGGTCTTGCCTTTCAGAGCTGCCAACTTCAGGAACTTCACCTTCATCCAGCTGAACGGAGAATTTTCTCGGGGAAAGGGACTTGACGTTGGAGCCCGCTTCTGGAAGGGAAGCAACGTCCTTCTCTTCTTCTGTGACGTTGACATCTACTTCACCTCTGAGTTCCTCAACACGTGCAGGCTGAATACACAGCCAGGTACGGGGCCTCTCTGCTCACCCTCGGGTGACATTCAGCTTTCTCGCGCTCATGTGTCATTCTCTTCGTGGTTCGCTGTGGCATCCTCCTCAATCAGCCTCTTTTACCCCATTGGCAAAGAGAGGGAAAAACATCTGGTTTGATTTCTCCTTTGGGGCTGTATTATGGGCCTGTCGGCCACCATAATTCTGGGACTCTTTTTCCAAGTTCATGTTCATGACCCCTTGTCCATCTCCAGCTGGGAGGTCGGCGTTGGTGAACATCCTCTGGAGAAAGTGTGGTGGGCAAGGCATGGACTTGGAAAAGCTGCCCGGATATAAAGAGAATAGAGTAGCCATGGGCAGGTACCAAGGACAGAAGGGCTCTGAGTGGAAAGAACCCCCGATACGGAAATTATCTTCGTAGACTTGACTCATAGGCAAAGTTGACACTCAGCTACTGATCACTAGCGTGACCACGTCAGCTGTCAAAATACAGAAATTCTTCTGTGTAAGCTGGTAAAGAA